CCGGGGGGGGGGGTGGTTAATGTAATAAGCTACTAATAAATCTTTATATATCGAAATAATGAAATCTTCAAGGATATTATTATATATATCTTTACCTTAACTTTATTTTTATTATTATTATTTGGATTTAATAAAAAAATTTCATCAAAGATTTTTTTTTATTCGAGAAAACTTTATCCCTTAAAAAGAACATTTTGTAGGTTCAAGTAAACGAATAAAACCCTGACTATTCTAAACTCTTATAAAAAATATATGTTTTAATTTAAATTTAAAATTTATTATACAAATCTTATATTTTTTATTATCACACTATGTCTCTTAAGAAGAACCGATATTATTTGAATCTTCAAAGATGTGTACAATCAACATAGTTTTTCTTGGATAATTACAAAACAAAATACATTAATTGATTATGGAAATGCATAGTTGAATCTATTTATCATATATGCACAAGAATAAGTGAATCATAATGAAATAAACAATCACCATCCATGTTTATTCCTCCTCCTTTTTTAATTTCCCTGTTCAACAATGCTCCTGACCAACAACGTTATGTTTCTTGTTTCTTGCTTGTATAAAGAGAGACCCATCACATCATGTAATGGTTGATCCTGAGAGTCCTTCCCTTTCTATCTTTGACAATTTCTTACATCTAGTTCTCTTCTCTTCCTATCCACGTGTCTCTTTTTCTTTTTCTTCTTTGTTGAACGTTTGTTTTTTATTTAGAATAGCATTTTCATCAAAGGACATGATCTTCTACACGGTAACACCAACCATAATGGTTTGACGTTATGGTCTCATCTATTTTTTAAAATATTTTTTGAATAGGTTATATTTTTTATATAATTTTAATATATTAATATTAAAAAAATCTAAAAACTATTTTATGCCTTATTTAAAAATATATTACACCACCACATTACAAACATTATCAAAAATTTTGACCCATGATATTTTGATCTTTGGATACTCATCGGTTCCAAATATTCAAGCTCCTGAGTTCAAGATAATACTGAACCAATAAATACATGATCAAATGACCTATCTTATTAAAAAAATATGAATAACTTATTATAAATTATAGAAAACTTTGCTGAGTGGTGATAAAGATGAGATCACACATGAGTGGTTCATGTGTTTTTTTTTTTTATGGACCTCACGGTCCTAACAATGACTAGCAATCTCCTCTTTCTCATCTAGCATTGTCTCTGTATTAGATTTATTATATTTGAATGTTTAAATTTTTAATAAATATTTAATTTTTATATTATTTTAATTTCTTTTTATTTATTTGATTTTAATTTATTTTAATTATTTTTCTACTTTTGTTTAATATATTTTTTAAAAAATATATATTTAAAATGTTATTGATAGGGTTATTAATGGACCACATCCGTCTATATATTCCAAAGAGTTGAAAAAAAATTACTGTAAATATTACTTTTATTGTTAACTCTTTGACAGAATTATAAATGATATTTTATCAGTGATATGTTATATTTACCGATGAATATACAAACAAACAAATAAAAACACTAATGGAATTGCATATAATATTATATCAGTTATATAACAAACTTTCTGAGTAAAATACTGCCAGAATAAAGTAAAAAAAAATTATTTTTATTTTTTTGCATATTTTTTTTGTTTTTTAATCAATTAATAAATGTATTAACAATGAACTCATTAATAAACCAAAAATTACTAACTAGAGTTTTTCTATCGGACTGTTTTTGTCTATGGATGTGTCAGTAAAATAATTGTCAAAAAACTGTAAATATAAATACTAATATAAATTTAAGTAGATAAAACTTTTAAATCCGGTTGTGGAAAATCTAGTCAAAGTCAAAATCACAACAGCAAAAGAATCAATACATCGTCACTTTCTTTATTCTTTTTGATGTTCAACTAGCAGTTTGTTGCCGGCCGGCCAGTGAACCGATTGAGAAACAAAAGAATTTGACAAAGCTGGCCGTTGTCTGAGTCGTTGTTTTGCCTCAGGGCCGGGAGCTAATTTATAGCATCGTCGGATTAAGGAAACATTTTGTTCTTGTCTTGGGTGCCATTTACTTAGCATGTGTAATACCCTAAAGGATTTGCTCCTTTTCTTTCTCAGAAAATCATATCTTGCTCGTCTTACACTATTGATAATTGAATCAGAGTTCTATCAGCTTTGGCCATGTGTGCATATCATATTTGGTTAATGGCAAGTCCATTTAGTGATATCAAACCAAGGAGCTCTATCATTGAATTAAAGTAGAAGATTTTATATGAATTAAATTTGAATAAAGGAGTTGATATAACTGAAATACAATAATGCATGCAAGGGTACGTGATGAATTTTTTATTTTTTTTTTCTCACACGGGAAGGATTATTTGGTTTTTAGCTATTTAAAATAAATAATCTATATATGGCTCCCTTCTTTTTCCGAGGGTATTTGTAAATATAATAATGATTATTTTTTAAAATATTTTTATTTTGTAAATACATCAAAGTAATATATATATATATATATTATTTTTAACATCAATACATCAAAATAATTTAAAAATATAAAAAACTTGTAAAACTCAATTTAAATATATTCTCAAAGGGGACGAAATCACAAGATAGTGAATGCTTTATCTTTTATTTTATAAGATAAACTTGTTGAGTCACCCACTTAAACTCAATTATGTAGATAGTAGGAGGCTAAAGAGCTGGTTTGGTATTGTGTTTCAATTTATGTTTAGATGTGTTTGAAAAAATATATTTATTATGAAAAAAATTTTAAGTGTTTTATAATAATTTTAATGTGTTAATATTAAAAATAAAATAATTTAAATTTTTTTATTTTAATATATTTTTTAACAAAAATATTTTTTAAGAAACACACTACACAACGATATATGAAATTATAAATCTTCCCAGCTTAACGGACGTGGGTCGGTTTTAACTACTGGGATTGAGTTAGAAATAAGGATTCTAGTGATAGAGGTCTTAGAATGTGTTTTGAATTAGTTTTTTAAAGTCTTTTTAATTTAAAAATGTATAAAAATAATATTTATTTATTTATTTTTAAAAAATTTATTTTTTATATTAACACATCAAAATAATTTTAAAACAATTAAAAAAATCTTTAAAAAGAAAAAGAAAAAACACAATCCCAAGCACAGCCAACAGTGACTATTTCCTGCAAAAAAAACTATAATAAAGTCTTGTTTATAAATCTGCAAAGACTAGGATTTTTTTCTGTCACATTATGATCTCTAATTAATACTTGACAGCTTTCGACAGTGACTGCTTCTCACAAACGATTCTATCATAAAGTTATTTAATTCCTTCTAATCATAGCTCTTGACAAAGAGTGTTTCTTCGCCGACTAAACTTGCAAAAAAAAAAAGTTTTTGTTTCAAAAACGTTTTTTTTTTTGCAAGTTTAGCCTCAGCTAAGTACTGTGACTCTGTATGAACGCTTCTTAATTGGAGAATCTTAGTGCATGGTTAGTATTTAAGGATAGAAATAATATATATATATATATATATATGAAATAAACAAAAACGTGTTTGGATTAAAAAATATAAAATAAACCTGTTTTCGAAATAGAAAGCATATGAAATATATTATCTTTATACATTTTCTATCTTTTTTTATTATTATTATTATTGCAGGATAATAACTAATAATTTCCATTCTATATTTTACTATTTTGATACCAGAAACTACGGCATCAGATTTCCAGATCAGAAGTGGTTTTAACGGGGAAAGGAATTTCCACAATGTTTCCCTTCTTTCGAAATCAGCACGCTTGATGTGGCTGGCTGTCTCCATCTCACCAACCTAGCCAGCCATGCATCTCCGACGACATCAATCCAGAACTTCCCGAGCACTCTCACCCCATGACCTAGGTCGTACACCACCTAATGCCAGAAAAACACAAAAGAAGACACCATTAATTGGAAAGTCAATTGCACTAACTACTAGTAGATTTCCATCACTGTTTGCGATTATAATAATCCATCCTC